ACACCAAATGCTTCACAAAACAAATATCCCAACATAATATTTCTAAAGTTACTATTTAAATTCACTTCTTGAAAAAATAAAACAAAAATACACCACTTGAGACTAGGAGGACATTAAGCTGAGCTGCACTGCACTTTCTGAAGTATACCAAAACAGGCTAATTATTAGGTAACAAGACCCTCTCTATACAAGGCAAGCGTTCAAGAAAATCTGAGGTAGAGGGTCTTATAATTCAAATAACTTGTTGTACCTCCTGCAGGATAAAAACCCACCTCGAATGAAATCAAGGTGTCAGGGAAAACAACCAACCAAGGATCTAGAAAAACTGCAAAATCTTACTGAAGGAATATTTAAAAAAAAAAAAAAAAGAATAAAAAGCTTCATTAGTGCATATATTATGTTATACTAAAATGTCAATTCTCCCCCAGATCATAATAATAATAATTTTGTGTAAATTCAATAAACGTTTATTGAATTTACACAAAATTATTTTTAAAGAAAAATCAAACTTGACAAAATGGTATATTAAAGTTTGACTAAAAAAGTTAACTTGCCCAGTATCATGTGGGGACAAGGGAGGGTTCTGAACCCAGCTGACTACAGATATCTCACAGGAAAAATAACAATATCCATTAACAGTACTCCTACGAATAACTAAGAAACAAAAATCCCTAAATAACCTAGACAAAGGCTATAACATGCAATTATATTAACATGCAATTAGCTTATGTACATGTATATACACACATTTAAAAGTTCAACCTCACAAGTATTTATTAGGATTATTAGATTAGAAAATATTAATAGGATTGAGAACTTGGAATACTGCAAATGCTAGGATACATAATGGTAGCAGTGTATATTTATATAGTACCTTTGGAAGGCAGTCTGACATGAAAGCATACAATTTATATGCTCTTTCAGCAATTCCTCTTTCAGAATCATCCCAAAGAAACATTAACATGAGCACAAAAAGCCACAAACAAGTACACTCACTTCAACTTCTGTGAAAGTGGAAAGAACCTAACTGTCCATAACAGGGAATAGCTGAAGAGATCATTGGACATCCACTGTGGGATAGTATGTAAAACATAAATCTACATGGGTGACATGGAAAGATATTCATCATACACCACTAAGGGGAAACAAGCAAGTCACAGACTATGTATAGGTTTTTTAAATCCACTGATTAAAGGAGGATCTGAAAAAAAATGATACAATATAAGAAAAAAAAAATCTTTTAAAAAGGGGAGAAAGGAGAAAAGAGTGTTTATACATATATGTTGAAAAAGGCATTTTTTTTAGAAGGATTTGCAAGGATATACACCAAACCTTTAGAGTTGACATTCTGGGGAAGGACTAGGAAGGAGTCCTTGCTGCTTAATATTCTTCGATGTAACTAAAATGTTAATGTTTTTGTAATTTTGAGAAGACAAAAGTAAGTGAAAAGAACTTACTATCTTGTGTTTAGACCTGTTAAAGAGAGATGTGTATGATAAGAAACATACTAAAAACTACTTAAAAAAGAAATAATAAAATTACATAGTAAGAACAATTATTGACACCTATAAAGATTCAAAGCAACCGACACAATAAATTTTATTGTTTCCATAATAGGCTCTAGACAAAGTGAAGACAATGGAGACAATGACAACACACTTAAAACTGCCATCACAAATTATTCTGTTACAAATTTCCAGTGGTTCCACATATTAAAATGTAAAATGTATGAGGAAAAAAACCAAGAAATATAAATATTCAGATTTTTGCAGCACAATGCAAGGTCCTTAAAAAAAAAAAAAGTTACAGAGAACTGTATGTAACTCTGACAGTAATTCAAAACAAAATCACACCTTTTTTTCCTAAGCTCCCCCATGATCTGGATCTGGGGATTGCAATAATAGAGAAATATGCAAGAATAAAAACATGTTTAGTGCTCAGAGACAAAATAATTTTCCTAATTTTAATGCAAGACACAGAAAAATAAAAGATCAATTCAAAAAAGCTAATCATTGCTATATGCAGATAAATAAAACAGATTTGACAACAGTTTTATAATCAAACCCAACTAACATTATACTAAAATATATATGTGTGTGTGTGTGTATATATATATATTTATATATGCAATACTATTTTAGAAAAAAGGTGCGTTGGTGAAAATGATTCTGAAAATATTCACTGATGCACATTTATGTACAAAAACTTCTATATAAAAAATTAAACTATTTTCAATGAAATTCCATGTTTACAGCCCATCTGAAAACTGTACTTGAAAGATAAATAGGTCTACCTAATGTTTTCTCTCTGAAATCATGGCTAAGGCAGTTCTCTTTCCAATGTTCTCTTTTTATCTACTTGACACCACTAATACTAATATAGACAGTATTACACAGATGCAACTTAACATGCCTATGCATTATTACCTGGAGCTGTGTTCACTGTTAAAACTGGGGATTGTATATAGTTGCTATAAAGAATATTTTTCTTTCTTAAAATATATTGTTTCTCTATTCCAAGTTAAGCACTTACTTAAGACATTAAGAGGCTACAAAGCCACTCCATTTGGTGTCAATATCATTAGCCCTATAAGAAAGAACTCTGTATTGGAATAGCTAGAAAAGTTCTCATTAAAATAATAGTGCATCCTTCACCTGCATAGAGTCAATTTGGCTTAATAGCTCTTTGCCCCCAGAACACTAGTCTGGAGTTCAAATATGCTCCTGAAGGTCCATCTTATATGAAAAAAGATCTCATAGAAGCAATATGAGACTATTATAGGATAATAAAAATTGTTAAATTTTGTTTGATGAGTCTTACAGCATTCCTCATTCAGAGTAGCTGCTAAAGGATAGGAGGAAACAAAATGGATAAGACTGGGACAATGAAATTGAGTTGGTCAAACTATATCAGTAACCATTTAATAAATCTTTAAGCAAACAAATGAAATGACAGGGTACCTGTAGCTCATCATTCTATAAGCAGTGAGGATTTGAAGCTTTTAGGTGAAAAATTGAATACCCTTAAAAAAGGGGAACAGTCTGAGGCAAAAGTTGTAGATCTGTAAATATATATTTCATATGCACACACAATTGTGTGTTTTATTCTGTATATTTACATACATATTCACAAGATGCCCTGCAGTGTAGTTCAAAAGGCCTTTAACAAACTACTTCTATTATAGGCCCTAGAATTCATACCACCGGTATAAGAAACCAATGTGCATATATTCACATAATGTAAACCTTATCAACAAAAACATTGCTATTAATACTAGGTTAAATAATAGGCGTTAGGTTAATTTTTTAAAACTACTATTAGTGATGTAATCACAACATTTCTTACACGGAGAATCAAAAATAATGGGGAGGGGGGACAAAAAAACAAAACAAAACCCACCACAACTGGAGTTCAAATTCACAAGAAAGAGATGTTCAGTATGGCAAACAAAGTTCAAATTCCAGAGTAGGGAAAAATATCAAAACTTTATAAATCTCCTGGGATGCAATTTAATTAATGCAACATTAGAAAAATAGATTCAGAATGAACGGTGCTGCTGAGGATTCTCTTAATACATCAACCCATATGTTTATCTTTTTCCTCTTTTGTTTCCAGCTGGAGGTTTCTTCAATTGAAGGAGTTGTCCTCCTGTTCCAAAACCTGCAGAGGCAGGATTGGACACCCCAAATGTCAAACCAGCTGATGCCGTGATGCCAGGATTGCTGAAGTTAAACCCAGATGTACTTGAGCTGCCAAAGCCTTATGTTTAGGGAAGAAAATATTCATATCAGAAGTCAAATCATAAAACACAAATATAGAAACTGGGGATGAGCAGTAAACTTCTATCTGAAAGAATACATAATTTGTAAGAACAGCAAATATCTTAGGCCCCTGAATTTCTAACATGGAATTTCATAGGAAAATAACTTAGCTAACAACTAAGTGGCATCTTGAAAGCCAGAGGTTTAGTGATACAGGCCCAAGGTGAAACATTAGCACGAATGACTGAAATCTATAGAATACTTCAAGCTGCCAAAAAACTTTTCCACTAATAAATAAGTCAAGGCGTCTTCCTCCTCGGCCCCACTAAAACCACTTTGTCATCAAGTAGAGCAACATCTGCAATCCCAAACTCTCCAAGAAAGCCTCAACTCACAATGTTCAAGACAGAGGACACATCAAAGAGCAATACTTATTGTTTTCATTTTAGACAAGACCCTGTATAATTGAGATCAAGTACTATTACTAACTAGTTAACTAAAACAATATTTAGATTACAGTTTTAATACCACTGAAGTATACATATTAACACAACTGCTAATTTTAAACACTACTTAACATAAGCAGAACTTCCTTCAAATTCCCTGAAATTAAACACGTGTTTAACAGTGTTATGTCATTATTTTGGACATATTTATCCCCAAGTACTGCACATTCAAACAAGCCATTATTTTTAAATAAAGAGTAAATGTAAAATAGATGAAATTTGGAATTTTCCACTGGAAAAGTCAAAAGATTTTATCTATTTTAGAAACAAAGAATAAAATTAATCCTTTTTGTAAGACTGTGGCATTCTTAAAATTGGAGGGATTTAAAGAAAAACTCTTATTCTAAAGAACAACTCTTATTCTAAATGGCTTTCCCGGATGAACAATGATTAAAAACAAAACAAAAACCAGGTTAAACTTTCACACTGATAGGTTCATTTCTGCAATAATGAAGAAAACTGCTTAACCATGAAACTATATTTAGGTAAAGAAGATACATTTATATATAAATCAAACTATGAAGATTTGTCAGAAATATTTCATATACCTGTCCTTTAGTTCATAAAAAAGACAGCTACATAATTAGTCAGGCTTGCATGCTTCATCCAGGGAGTGAAAAAAAAAAAGAATCAGGGATCTTTTTGGATTACTGGAAATAACAACACTTATACTTTTAAGTTAAATAATTTCCACCTTTAAATTCACCTGGAATTCAGGTAGAAACACACAAACCTGCACTAAGACTTCCTGAGGGTTTATTTGTTGCTCCAAATCCAAATGTGGAGGCCCCTGTGGTGCTGCATCCAAAACCAGAGCTAGTTCCAAATCCTAATGGAAGGGTAATAGAGAAATATACAATGGTACATAAAACACAGGTTAAAGGTTACACACAATAAAACCAAAAATTATCAAAGGTCTATCAAAAACACCGTTGAAAAACATGGCTTTATTAAGAAAGATTATTTTTTCTTCTAAATGTTCCAGAAATTTTTATCGATCATTCAAATATGATTTTTTAAACAGTTATGAACATATCTACTTGAGGGTTACTTTTTTTGGGGGGGGGGACTGACTAAATTCACAAATATTCATGACATACATAATAATGTATACCACAAGATAATTTTACTCAGCCCTTTACCAAACATTTTTGGTTAATTAAAAAATCTTTACATTGAAAAACTAACTACATAACAGTCTATCACTTTAAATCTACTCCATAACAGATTTGTGCCATCTATTGTCAATGTTAACAGTGAGAAACTGGAAGAGAGAGCAGCATATTTTTCCTCTTAATAGTTTTCAAAACTTAAAATAACTTATCACAAAGTTCATGAAGAGATTCTATGTATTTGAAGAACAGTTTCCCAGATGCTCTATGTAAATAAAATTCAAATTCTTTTAAGGCTACGCTATATCTTATCTAAACTACTGAGACTGACAGTTATCACTACCTATGAATCTTAAGAAATAGAATAGCGAACTGGATTATAAATCATATAAATTATGATGCCTATCATGATTCTAGTAATTCCTAATATAGAAAAGTCTATATTAAATAATAATAAATAATTTATAAGTCTTCTCTGTTCTATTTTAGTGGAAATAAGGGAACCTTATTCATTACATTACAATGCTTTTGTCAAAATACAATCAACTTTCAATTATCCAAAGAACTGTGAATGTATCTGTATTCAGCATGATGCTTTTGCAGAGAACTTACCTAATTAACTTATGAAACTACCATAAGTTCAACTGCGTATGTATACAAGTATGCCAAAACTGTTTAGCAATGGAAGAAGTCAAGCTGTTTAATTTATAATAAAATTAATTCCCCATTTTTAAAGTGCTCCAGAAAAAAAGATAATGATTAGAGACTGTTATGACATCTAGAAGTTGATTGGATTCCAAAAATTAAGACAAATTTTTAAATTTTAAAATTAAAACTAAGTAAGTCAAGTTCATATCAGCATAGTGATTTGAAAATATAAACATCCCTACCACTTAATTTTAATACTTTTTAATATTTACTAATCACAGAAGATGGAATGATTTTTTAAGTTCTAAATCTAATACTAGAAAGCAATGATTATGTTTGGAGAATCATTTTTGCCAGATGGAAACTTAACTTCCAAAACAGCAGAGGATCTTCTTAGAAACTATTTTACAGGCTAGTATAAATTCAAATGTATAATACTTCAATGAAATATTAGAAAAGTTAAAGTGTACCTCCAAGGTTTGAAGAACCTAAGCCACTTGATTGCAAGCCAGTGCCAATACCTGAGCCGAATGGCGTTCCAAAACTAACTCCCAGAGATGGCTGTGGCCCTGGTATAAAAAAAAAAAATGGGGGGGAAAAACAAATTTGCCTTACTCTTTCAAGATTAAAGTTCCTTTATGAAATTATTTTAAAACTGAACAGTGATTACTTTTAACAATTCCATTTGTTAAAACTTTGTTTTCAAGATGTCTTTCTGACCTAACTTATCTGTCCAAAGTGATTTATCTATCAAAAAAAAAATCTTTTTAATTAACCTGCTCGGAACTATAACTATTAAAAGGCTAACCAAAATGAAAAATATTAGTTTAATAGATGAAATAATTTGTTTTTAATATATCATAAATTATAGTTTAGATTTACTTATAGAATTATTTTAGATCTCCCCACTTGTTCTCTGATAAAACTGGTGTAATCAGTAAAGGCTTTTATTCTTTTTTTTTTTTCCAAACAAGTTCCTTAGTGTTAGAGTCAAGTCTCAATTGATCAAAAGAGACTGACACTAACATGGCAAAACTATCATGTTACTTCATAAAAGTACCCAAAAAACTAGGCATGATTTGTTATGATATAAATGATATATACAATAAGTAGATAAAAAACAAGACAATGATTTATTTTATTAAATTTATTGTTCATTTTAAAGCAAACCAATTACACAGTAACATGACAATTCCAACTTGTTCACAAAAAGTGATAATTGAGTTCTATTCTTCAGCTCAGCTACATTACACCACTTATCACCTGATTAAATAAGATAATGAACATTTACAAAGGCACCGCTGTGTACCTTGACAAATTCAATACATTCAAGATTTCAATTCAGAAGCTTCTTTCCAACATTTTGGGAAATGTACTCAGATACAGAACGATTAGTCATCCTTTTCCCATCTGTTACTTTAAAGATTTCGGCTGAGTTTGTCTGGCAAAAATAGCATCAAACTTACTAGCCTCTCTTTTTAACTACTATTTTTTTTTTAAGCTAAGCAGAATACAAAAATCTAAAAATCTCATTTGATAAATAATTTATGAAAATTACTCAATAGATTTCATAGTACAATCTTCAGTCTTGTCTTTTTCAAGCACAGTGATCAGTGCATCTCAAAAGTTGAGGGAATGCCAAAGAAATACATCTTAAAATTTAAATTTTTAAAGAAATCAAAGCCTTCAAGTTGTTCAATGATGAATGAGGTTTGTATATTCAAAAGGTAGTGTAAAACTATAAAGTATTAAAAAACAAAACAAAAAAATGAGGAACTACATTTTGCTACACACTGGGACAGAAACTGGACTTTTCAAATAGCTTCTATCCAGAAAATAAAGATTAATAACTAATAGCGGCCAGAGTTCTTATACTACTATTAAAAAAATAAATAAAAAAGGATTTAAGCTTTTACATCCAGTTTGAGATCAATTTGAGAATATAATACCTGCCTAGCAGCTCTTTTGTAAAATGTTACTATAGAAAAAAGAAAAGAAGCATATTACCTTTTTTTATTCCTAACAAAAATAATATGTAGAAAACACATGTCCAGTTTCTTTAACATAGAGAGACTTAAGTGTCACATGTTAAAAGGAGGCACTGCTGGTGGAAGACCCTAAAGAACAATGCACACCACAGTCCTCAGCCTTATAAGTCATAAGAGTTACTCAAATAGCATGTTTTTGTTGTTGTGTGTGGGTCTGTTTTTAAGAGCAACAGAACATAGTTTCTCTAATCATCAATATTCAGGATATGAAGAACTCATATAGCTAACAATGACAAGACTTTCCATTGCACAACAGATACATGATAGTTTGAGTTTTGGACCTTCATACAAATTTTGAAGGCAACATCATTTATAAAACTAGTAGGCAAATGTATAACATTTTTTAATAGTAAAAACTCATCATAAATATCTCCCATGCCAAAGTATTAGCATATATTACACTCTGGCCACCATATATATTAGTTTCACTATTAGAAAGCAGAATCAAAATCTTTCAGGCAAAAGTTACGTAAACAATTCAAGTCTGCTTTAAAATCTGAATAATCATTTAATGAGAGGCTCTTAGTTCCATAAATAAAACCAAGTTAATAGTAATATATACCAATGACTGCCCAAAGTGAAATCTTTATGTAGAGTAACATTTTACAAAAGTTACCATAAGATATATTCACACACAACAAAATGAGATTTAGCACTGTCATTCATATTTTCCAGAATAAATTCTACTTTCTTTCTTAAAAGTAAAACTGCATTCACAGGAAAAGGACTAAAGTGCTAAAACTTTTTTTTTTTTTTTAATAATTTTCTATGGTCACTAAAAATACCTAACGTAGTTAGTATAGTTAATTCCTAAGTCATTTTTTTAAATAATAATTTTTCTTAAAAAAACCAAAAATGCCTTTTCCCCAGTTTGAAAACTTTACTTACTTATTTGATGGGGAACATTCCTTTGGTTATTAAATACAACAAAATCACAAAACCACAAGAAACTAGGATAAAATACTTAAAGTTCCCTATTTAACAGTATACCTTAAATATCCAGACTGTCACTAAAAGCTAGAAAGTAGGAATTTCTAATAAATGTCTCAGCTCTCCTTAAAAACAGCAGTTAAGTCACATGAGAAAAATCATGAGGTAAGCATCAAGAACGTTGGTCAAAACACAATGGCAAAATCCAATCCTAGTACAATGCTTTAAAAATCCATCCTAAATTAAAATTTTACTGAACAGCCTAATGTAAATGTCTTTGTAGGAGGCTTGAGGCATTTGTGAACAAGTATACTAAAGATCTGCCAACATGTAACTTATCCATGTACGGATACTCATTTCGTACTTAAATAGCCTGCTGGTTTTTCAGCAATTTTCTTCAGGCTTCAGAACAAACCACCATAAATCACACATGCCTAAGTCCTATTGTATATTGTTTCATTAAAAAAAAAAAAAAAATTGGACTCTGGGAGTGTAGCTCAGTGGTAAAGTGTGTGTTTAATATGAATGAGAACCTGAATATAATCCCCAACAACATTAAAAAAAAAAAAAAAAAAAAAAGCTGAAGAATCAATAAGTCATTTTAAGTCCAACCCCTGACTCTAAGACAACAGAAACATTCAGAAACCGGTAGTTTAAGAAAAGCTATCTGTTCTGTGCCATCTTTCTAATGAAATCAAGAATCTATATGCAAATAAAACCAAATCTTCTGATAACTCAAACCTTAATCAACAGTGATGTATAAAAACAGTGCACAAGTTCTATCTCACTTCATCTAGATGGTCTAGAATTTGTTATTGGCACTTAAAAGATTTCATGAAAGTATCAAGGCACAAGGAATAACTCCTTGGACACAAAATATAAATGCAATAAACAGGGACATTACTAAGTGGGCTGTAACTCATAAAACTGTTATTTAACCAACAGAGCTTATGTCATAATCAGGATGACATGACTGGTGACTAAAACCACTGGCATTCTGAATGGGAAGGTATAAAGGAATGAACTACAGAGCCTGGGAGACCTTTAGAGAAACAAAAGGGAAAGACATAATACAAGATTATTGTCACTTCTGTAAATTTTCAGTTCTAGAAATTCAAACAACTCAAAAGTAATAATACTGTAAGACTGTTAAGGCTAAAACATTCTGATTGCTGCCACGTTATCAGAAAGCTCCTAAAGGCTCTAAAATTGCAAGAACACTAAAGTCTTAAGATTTCCCCTGGCAAAAGAAAAAACAAAAAAACTTACAAACTTGGCAAAACTCACAGATAAAATTTAAGTATAAAAGCAAAAAGCTCCTCAGAATGATTAATCCAAATTAAGCTATTATTCTCTACTACCACAGAGAGCAAAGATCGTATTTCTACATCTACTTTTATGTCCCCCAAAACTAGCATATAGGAGGAACTCATATTTATAGAATGAACATACATGTTATGTCCATGAACCCAAAATGTATGAGTGAAAGCCTATCAATTCCTCTAAATAAGTTTACATTCAAAAAAGTAAAAAAAAAAAAAACAAAAAAAACCCAAAACAACCTCGACAGGTAATTTTGCTTCAAGTTTACTTATTTACCATAGAATACAGTAATTTTAGATAACTGACTTTTCTCAAGCTTTATTATATTGGAAATCAATTATATTTAATGAATACTTAACCACAGCCATGCTTATCTGATCTTCTTTAGAATTAAATACTGGCTCTAAAAAGTAAACTGGTACTATGGTTGATTTGATTAGCTGGTTAAATAATCATTAAGAACTAATGGTTGTAATTTGGGGGTTGATTCTTCAAAGCAATCAATCCCATTATGATTTTTCCTCTCCATAACTTGAGAGAATACAATCCTATACTCCAGCCAGCTAGAGAGCTACTAGATAGTGCTATGTGAGCCACTATTCACATGTGTCCAGCCATGGAATGTGGAGGATTTGGCATAGATGCATCATCAACTTTTTACTGATATCTAGTCATTATCTGTTTTCTCCAAATGTGAAGAAGAATTCGTTAAACTGCCAAAAGTTACCATAAAATGCTTCTCTGGTACAGGCAGCTTGAATGCAACCTAAATATGTATTTTTAAAACTATTTTTGTATTGTAATTTACTGCCAGATTATATGGAATTCTCAGAAGACACATGCTGTAGAATAAACAAGCCTCAAAAATTAATGATTAAAGAAAAAAATTCAATATCCATTAAGAGTATAGTTTCCTAAGTTAAAGCCTGACAAAAATGAATAAGGAAAGTTTCCCTACTTTCCAAGGACCAAATGAAACATTGTAGAACTACACCACAAAATTTTTTCTCTGATTAGAAGTGGAATTAAACCAAGGACTAAAAAGATCTAATATTTCACTATTTTCATCTGCTCAACTCCCCACTTCCTACTTAACATGCAATCCAAACCTCAAAACGTCCTCTTCCTGTTCTTGCTACTTTCTTTTATGTCCATGAGCCCTTATTTTGAAAAGGAACAAATAATTCTCGGATGTATAGTCTTCAAAATTTGGCTTACAGGACCTGTATTCTGTTTTTTGTCAAAGTACATAAAGCAAATCTACTGATCTTCAACACATCTTCAGTCAATAAAATCACACTGCATCCTGAATGTGGGTACTTTGCAATCATTATGTATGAAAAAGGTCAGAATGCACCATCTATCAGTATCATACATGAAAAATGCAACGTATGGATGGATTATATCTGACTTTGAAACAAAAAATGATACAATCACGATTTTAGAACCTAATGGTATTCTTAAATGTAATTCAGTAGTGAAACACCATAGTCTAAAGGGTATTTATAGCAATACAGCAAATAACATTGAGTTAATTCACAATAGTCAATATCTGATGTATAATTATTGCTAGACTACCCTGCATTTTTTGTCAGGTGTGTTTATAATTGTGTCGATCACAATTTTTAGACTGTACTGAAACAGCTGTTCATAGAAATTTTTTCAGGGCTCACACAAAAGGAAGACTTATAAAAATGCACATAAATGTTCAGCATTTTAACAGTAAGAAGCTATAACTTGAATGCATTCAGACCTGTAGCAGGCTGTTGCTGCTGCGTAAGTGTTGCAGCCATGGCAACGGCTGCTGCATTTGGCATGGTGCTGAAAGGGGTTGGTCCAGTAGTAACTCTGGGTGCATTCTGCCACTTCTTAGCTTCTGCTCGCCTGGCTTCAAATACATCTACAGCATCTCCCAAGAACATTTTTCTGTAGCCAAGGTACTGTTCTTTGAGTACCTAAAGAAATGGGGGAGGGGGGGGATAATCAAGTTCCAGGTTGACTATGATAATATGTAAATGATTATAACTACAAAGTAAGTTACTAAAGATCTAAGAAACTGCCTATAATTTCCACCTAAACTGTAATGCACATTGATGTGGGAATTGGTGAATTTCGGTTCTATTTTTCCTTTGAGTACTTTATTCCCCATTTTGCCATGTCTTTTTTTTTTTTTTTTTTAATGCAAGAAGGCTGTTTTACTTTATTTTTTAAAAATTTTGTTATATGACAACAGAATGCGTTACAATTCATATTACACAGAGTACAATTTTTCATATCTCTGGTTGTACACTGCCATATCTTTTTACAATAGGCCACATAAAACATTCTGGCTTCATCAGACTGTTATTTCGAAATGAATCTACTACATTTTAGGTAAGCAGAATAATATTTAAATTAATATTAATGCCTAGAATGGTGGTGCACACTTGTAATCTTATTAACCTGGGAGGCTCAGGCAGAAGGATTACAAATTCAAGGGCAGCCTGAGCAATTTAGTGAGATCCTCAGCCATTTAGCAAGACCCTGTCTCACAATTTAAAAACGGGGTGGGAGGTGGTGTCGAGTTAATAGTGAAGCACTCCTAAGTACAATCCCCAGTATACCCACTCAAAATAAATATTTTTAATCATTTTTCATAAAAATTTTTCCTCAAATGTCCAACCTTTCCATAACCTTTATTAAAAGCCAGCACTAAATATGTACTTTTTAAGTACATTTTTTAAAAAGCCCTGAGTGATACATACTAAGATGTCACACCTCAAGTAGAGAAATGTTGGAAGGTATAACCAAGATTTCCACTTTATCGATATTGTTTGACTAGTATACAATGATGATGGCTGATATATCCAAACTTGACTCAAGTTCTTACAGTTCATAACTCCAGAGTAATACTAAGACCATTAATAGGAATAATTCTAATTTACATGAGAATTATTAAATCACTAAAGATACAGTCTAATTTAGATAGTTATTTACCACTTTTTGGACAGAAATTTCACATTTCTTACTTTTCTTAATAGAAATAACTGAAAGGCTACAACATATTGAAATCTTATTGCTATTAATAGTATTTAAAAATTATCATCATCCTTTTGTGTGGAAGTCTGTACTTAAAACTCCAGTTCCAAACTTTGCTACCTTTATAATGGATTATAAAATGGACCTGCTAAGAACCAACAACTGGGCAAAATGTGAAGTCAGAAGCGGAACGTGTAATATAAGAAAAACAGACATTATTATTGTTCTCCCCCAAATCCAGCCTTCCTTTTCTTGTGCAATTCCAGGTAATTCCCAAAGTATGGCATTAGTATCACATAAATTTTACTTCTACTTCAGATAATAATATAATGATTGCTTTGGAGACCTGAAAAAGGCAATTAATTTTTAAAAACCAGACATCAGCCATGAGTTATGTAACTAATTTCTAAAACTTCCAAATTTGCTAATGCCTCTAAGTCCTGGCTGGATAAAGCAGTTTGCGTTTGATTTCAACAGATTATCTAATAAAAAAGAGGAAGGAAAAAAAAAGCCTTGGGAGAGTTCTGTAAGATATAAACTAGTCAAATTTATAGTTAGCCAGCTCACTAAACTAAGCTAAAAACAACTGCTAACATACCAAGCCTGCTCACAGAACAGTCTTTGGTTCTTAGTAATATATTAAAAATATATTATTAAAGAAGAAGAATAGTTCAAACTTTCATGTTAAGTTTATTCGACATGAGGTGGACTATTTTACGCAAATATCATTCTCACTGGTTTATAGTCACATTACAAAAAAGGCTTGTTTTTGAAACTAGAGAGGAGAAAGACATGCATGTATACATTTGGGCTGTACTTAAAAAAATCAGCACAACAGAGACTTCAAAGTGCCAAAATAAAATCATGTTCAGTAATTTAAAAGATTAAAAGTAACATTATAGACTGATAAAATTTTCAAGAAAATTTGATAAAATTCTTCATGTAAAAATTTTGATTTAGTTTAAAATGTTAAAGAGAAAGGGTCTAAAGATGCTATCATTTAAAAATGACATAATTTAAGGGATTAACTTTTTAAAACATTCTGTTACCACACATTAGATTAAGCATAAAAATACTAGTAATCTCAAACTTTTGTACACAATTTATTTAGACTCAGCTTTCAATGCTTTGAATATTAAAGGTACTTTTGGACTATGTATGACTCTTAAAGAATTTAATTACACTTGGATTGGTTACTGAGAAAAAGTGCACCCATATTTAATATTTCACTTAAATAAATTTTAAAAATTACCATTACATGAGGGATATTCATTGATGAATTATTTATATTATTGAATAAACACAAAGTGTTCCCTGTAAGTAGGAGAAATAATGCAAAAAAAATTTTTTAAAACACATAACATTAAGTCAGTGTAAAATAATTTTTCTATTGAGAATGTTTACTTTCTATAGTATTATTTACAGTGGTAAAGAGATGGAACAATCTAAATGTCCATCACCAAGAATGGGTTAAACAAAGAATGCACACACAATGACCTACATAACTACAAAAAATGATTTTGAGGAAATATGTGTACTAAAAATTATTTCCAATATATTGCTGAAAAACGTTAAGAGGATAATTGACTCTGGTGAAAGATTTTTATCAATGTAAACAGATTTCATCAATGATTATATTAGTATATAGTTATTTTATGTAGCCTGAGCCATTTCTGTAATAAGCATGGCCATGTGTTCCCAGTGAATAAATACTTGGATCTAGGTATATGGACAGATAAATTGGCACTGAAAACTTACCTTTACATTTTCATGAATAGACTGAAGTTGTGCAGCTAAAGCTACAAATGTTTGATAAATTTTCTGCATAGCCATTGACAAATCTATAAAAGAAAATTATGTTACCATACAATAAAACAATCAATTTTATTTTTCTACTATTTGAGACCAATTTTTGGTACAATTACTGTGTTAAAGAAAAAAAAAGTTCATCAATGATCCCATGGCTAGAGAGGAGAGCAAATTGAGTAGACTGAAGAAAGGACATCAGTAATGTGAGTTGAAGTGGGAAGACTCTAGGATTTCTGCCCTTGTCAGCACAGTAACAATTCATAATAAAGTCTTTCATATTTGCAGGAATAAAGATCTATTTAATGACTTAAGGAAATTTTCTTACAGCCCTTTAAAATAACTATTAGTAGTTTATCTACTATACAACCAAGGTTTACTCCTTCTCCTACAAATAATAGTACTGTCAAAAAAAATCACCAAAGTAAGCATTTTACCTTGAGGGGTTATATGTGAATTATTTGCTTGGGTGGCAAGATGGTTTTCTAGTTCTTCAATCTGCTGTCTGTATTGTTGGAGCTGTACCTCAAATTGCTGAACCAAGATTCTGAAGTAGCTATTAAAAAAGTGTTAAAACAGATCAAATTTTTAAAAATTATTTTCTTTATATTTAAAATACCAAATAAATGTTCTCTTTTTAACAGGACTTCTTCAATTAGTTTAATAATGTCACAGATACAATCACTAAAATAAATGCCCAAAAACTGTAAATTATCGAGGTATCATTACTAATCAGGGGAGACAAATCCAAATAATCACCTATGGAATAAGTTAATGATCTTTAGAAGTAACAAGGTCATACAAGACAAGACTGAATAACTATTACAGAAAATAATTAAGGAGAAATTGCAAATAAATGCAATGTGAACTCCCAATAAGATCCTGAAAAAAAAAGTTACATTTAATGGGGGAAAAAAAACAGTACAATTCCAACATGTTCTGTGGTTTTATAAATAATACTGTATCAATGCCAGTTTCCCTATTGTTGATAATAGTACATATATAGTAGGTTAACATTAGAGGAAGCAAAATAAGAGATATAAGAAAATTATTTACAATACTATTTTCACAAGTTTTCTACAAGTTTAAAATAAAAAGATTTCTTAAAACAACAACAAAAAATCCCAAACCTGAACTGTCAACCAGACTTTACAATCAGTACTTAAAAGCTATTATAGTAATATAAGGAATCTGAATGTTTTTCTATTAAAAAAAAAAAAAAGGCCATAATGAAACTTTTTGCAAAATAAGCCCTATTAGCAGTGTGAAAAACAGCATAGAGGGATAAAATATCAGAAGTCCAGCAAGAAAGCATACCCAATGCTAATCTGAGTAACACAACAGATGTAACATTGTCATTGGTTCCTGATTTTAATAATTATACTATTGTACAGAAGATTATCCAGAGATTGATATCAAATTCCATGCATATCTGATTTTTTCAAAATAAATCCAATTTTGTATAACTATAATGCTCTAATAAAAAAAAGACTATCCTTAATTTTTAAGAAGTATACACGAGGGCTGGGGTTGTGGCTCAGTGGTAGCATGTATGAGGCACTGGGTTCAATCCTCAGCACCACATAAAAATAAGACAATAAAGTCCATCAGCAACTAAAAGAAAAAGTAGTAGTATACACGAAAGTATTTTTGCAAAACGAGTATTATGTTTGCAAATAACTCAAACTGTTCAAGGAAATAAAACATATATACAGCAAGAGAATGAGGAATAAATCCAATATGGCAAAAGTGTTGAGATGCGGGGGGCCTAGATTATAGGTATACAAGAAATTTTGCTCCACTCTATAAATTTTTCTGTAAGTTTGAAATAATACCATAATAAAAATTAGAAGAAAAAAAAAGTGAAGAGCAGGAGTCAAATAGACTACCACTGAAAACTCACCTCTGGCTCCTCACTGGAGTAAAAAAGTTATAATAGGTTTTGTGAAAAATAAGATAAAGCACAGACAGTGCTGAGCACACTGCTTGGCAAATAGGAGACACCTGGTATGCATCAGCTATTATCTGTAGTAACATAGTAGGATAGAAAAATAGAGACAAAAATCTATACCACATGTATGGAACTAGGTGGATATACAACATGAAGTGATTCAATTAGCAGTGGAATTTTTTCTCTAACTTATCTGTGTTTTCTAATTTTTCATCCTCAATGTCATTAGCTATGTAAATAAATAAAATTTATGCAAATAAGTAAAAGAGTTAAAGTATAATTATTATGCCCTGTTTAAGGATAGGACTATCATAAAATTAATTTTAATTTAAAAGTTCTAATAGAAAAAATTAAAATTTCTTTTACCTGCAAACTTAATAAAGTAGAATACAAATTCCATGACATTAAAGTATAACTGCATAAAACTGTTTAAAAGTTCAGATCTTAGCCTTCACTCATCCTGAAGTAAAAAGGAAACACTAAACTACCCTCTTAAAGGTTATTAGAAATCAATTTAAAAGTCCATGTGAAGTGTTGATTAACTCAGTATATGCACATAATAAATGAAACGGTCTTAGCTTATCATATTATTACTACTGATACACTTTCTTAAAATGGGAAACATTTGTTTTTTAAAAAACCAATAACTTACTCAGCAGGAGCTGTATTTTCATGCTGAAGTCCAGGTGGTGTTTTTTGGGTTCTTAAAGCTATTTCAGCATTCTTTAACTCCTAATATGTCAAAGGTTTAAAAAACAAAAAAAGCCATTTTAGAGTTAAGCTAAAAATACGAACTATTTCTGAGCTAAGATTTCAAATAATACCAGTTCATGTTTTAATAACACCACGGATGAAGTTATTTTATAAGAAAATTCTAAAACCTCTTGAGAGCAGACAATTAAACTTAACAAGGTTTATAAGATTATAGTGAACTGGGCTAGGGCTGTAGCTCAGTGGCAAGAGCACTTGCCTAGCATGTGTGAGGCACTGGGTTCCAATCCTTGGCACCGTATAAAAAACTAACTAAATAAATAAATACAGGCATGCTATCCATCTACAACTATTTAAAAAAAAATGTCACTGGTAAATCCAGTCCCACCTGATTTTGTCTGATAGACAATTTAAAAACAAAAGATTATAATGAACTGATCTATTTTAAGGTTTCTGAACAATTCGTAAATTCATCTGTAGTGAAAAGATTGGGCTACTACTATTTGAAGCTGACATGGGCAACAATTAACATCCAATGCTTATTATGTACAAAAATCTATGCTGAAGGGTTCACTTATACCACCTTGGTTACTTTTAAAAAGTAAAAGTAGGAAATGCTTTTCTTTTTATAGATGCAGAAATGGAGTTAGAGACATAATTTGTTCAATGCCATGTGGCCATGACACTTGAGAACTGAATGTTGGCAGCTCAATTCTTTTAAATGTTATTCACTGCACAATTCTTGTATTACCTTCTACTATTCCTAGAAGCCCTGGACAGTTCTGGACCATTCAAGACTGACGCCTACCCACCTCTCTAAGTACTGACTCTTGTCAGGCCCAGACATCTGTAATACTAAACTGCTTGCAAATAATCAAACATGCCTATGCCATGCCTCTTTGGCCTTGCTCATTCCTACCTACCAGCGTGTAAAATACATACATTTTAAGACTCAACATAAAGGTCTCCACTTAAGCCCTCTGTAACTATACCTATTATTTAAACATGACTGATTTAATTCTCTCCCAGTTCTCTTGATCCTCACTGCTTGGCACACACAGATTTAAAAAAAAAAAAAAATTCACTAAGTGACTGGACAGCTAAACTCAGCAATTTGACTTAAATGGTACCCATTTGATGACCATTGCATTCCACTGTCTTTCATATCCCTATGCCCCCCCCATTTATTTAAACTCAAGTTATTTGCCAAAAAATGAGGTATTAAAAGAATTCACTTCCATAAGATTTTGGTTCACATCATGCCTAACCACAGAATGCTTCTATTACCCAAAAAGGCTGCCTTTGATGAAAACGTTTTGGGGTTAAATAAGATTGATAACTACGTCATGAGGGATTCAGAACACTGTTTTTCAACTGGTAAATCTCTAGACACTGCATAGAGTACTAGGTTCCTTTATAATGGAAATAATAGTAATCATAAATCAAATTTCGTTGATATAGCCTACGTTTTCTAAATTCAGTTCATTTATCCTTAAGGAAACTTTGACTCCTATCTTTCTTTGCAAACCTTTTTGCTCTTCTTAAATCTTTTACCATTCCATTTATCCCCCACTGTCTTTTTACTACTAGAGATGATCAACAAGTCTTATATAACAGGTGTCCCACATATATTTGTGAATGGAATTATCCAGTTTTAGAATTACAATGGGTCCCATCAGAGTCCATCTCACTCTGCGTTTGTTCCATTATTTTTCTACTTATAACTTACATGATTTCATATATTTTGCATACAAAATTTATGATTTCATGTAATTTATGTAACATTTAATCTGAGATTTTCCAAATGAACAGGAAATCTGAGAAAAGACAAAAGTCTTAAAATTCTCTTTAAACATAATAGTTTAGTTACTTGAGTAACATGGTATTTAAAAAGCAAAGGTATTCTCTAATAGTTGACTTGAAGACATGTTTTAAAATTTTACATATATCAACATCACTAGACGGGCACAATGGCACATGCCTATAATCCCAGAGGCTTGGGAGTCTGAGGCAAGAGTTCAAAGCCAACCTCAGCAAAAATGAGACACTAAGCAAATCAATGAGACCCTGTCTCTAAATAAAATACAAAATAGGGCTGGAGAGGGGCTTAGTGGTCAAGTGCCTAAGCTCAATCCCCAGTATCCCCACCAAAAAACAATATCACCTATGAGCATAGCACTCATTGATAAGCTCACAGTAAAGGCATATCCTATGCAGTTTATCAACAGATAGGAACAACTTAAAGGGAATGTTGTCCAGATTGCCACAATGATATCAAGTATGTTTTATAATTATGACATATAAAATCCAAGTAAATCATCAACCATCATTCTTCTTCACTGCAATAGAAAAGAATTATATATTTTATTTAGTATGTATTATATATTAGGCCATGGGATAAAAGCAATTAGACAAGAATGACAGAAAATACTAACCTCATTATGATTTTTATTAACTAAGATATAACCAAGACTAACAAGTGTTCAGTGAAATGAATCTATAAAGCATGATATAATTTTAATTTAATAAATGATATGTTAAAAACATTTTCTGACCAGGTATTCTTTCTCTTATGAACAGACCAATTTAGTCAGCAGGCACTTATGTAAACAAATTAGTTAAGGGCATAAACTCAAACTAGATCAGCAAACTGAATTCAGGCTGTTCAACTTATTAACAAAGTTCTCTGCCTCTTGTCTTATTTACATAATAACAGTACCTTACTTCAAAGGACTACCATGAAAATGAAAGCAGATTAACAAATATCAATAAATTGCTTAGGATACAGTGTTATATAGAGCGAGCATTAATAAAAACTAGTAACTACTATTATTTATTAAAGTAATTTAAAAATATATGATAGGCTGGGGATATTTCTCAGTAGTAGAGCACTAGTTTGGCAAACATGAGACCCTGGGTTCAATTTCTAGCATCACAAAAAAACATTTTTTAAAGAAAAAATATGATCTACCTGGTTTTCTCACAGTATGTATATATCAACTTTAAATAAATCATTATTTCCATTTTGGAAAAAAAACAAAGCAAAACATTCTATGGTAAAATGGCTGTAATTTAGTATACCTGAGCAGTTTCTACTTTCAATTTATCAATATTAAGAGTGTTTCTCTGTAATCCACTGGCAGCCAATGATAGAAGTTGCTTCAGAGCTTTAATATCTTCTTGTACTTTAAGCATTGCTTTTGAAGACATTCTACTAATTTCTTCTTGGACCTGTTTTTGTTCCTTCACAAATTTCCTTTACAAAAAATAAATAATAGATAGATAAATAAATAAATAAAACTGAGAATTTAAAAACTGTGGTACTGGCAAAAAAACAAAACACTTAGGATCAATGGAATAGAAGACCCAAAAAAAAGACAAACCCATAGAAATACAGTCATTTGATCCTTGACAAAGGCACCAAAAACTTACACTGGAGAAAATATAGGGTTTTTAACAAATGGTGCTGGGAAAATTATATATGCATATGTAGAAGAATGAACCTAAATCTCTCTCATACTACAAAAAAGTCAATTCAAAATAGATCAACCTGTAATCCCAGTGGTTCGGGACGAGGCAGGAGGATTGCGAGTTCAAAGCCAGCCTCAGCAAAAGTGAAGCACTAAACAATGAGACCCTGTCTCTAAATAAAATACAAAATAGGACTGGGAGGTGGCTCAGTGGTCCAGTGCCCCTTAGCTCAATGCCTGGTACAAAAAAAAAAAAGATTTAGGAATTAGACCACAAACTTTGCAACCCCTACAAAAAAATGCTGGGGCACTCCAACATAAAGGCACAGACACAAACTTCCTTAGAAGGACCCCTAAAGCTCTGGAAATAATACCAAGAATCAACAAATAGAGTGGCATCAAATTAAAAAGCTTCTGCCAAGCAAAGGAAACAAAAGAGCATGAAGAGAAAACCCACAAAATGGGAGAAAAATCTTTTCCAGCCATTGTTCTGATGGTATTGATATCAAGAATATAAAGAAATCAAAAAATTTTAGAAAATCAATAAATGGACAATTGAACTAAACAGACATATCTCAAAGAAGACACACAAATGACCAACAAACTTATAAAAAGTATTCAGCTTCTTTAGCAATCAGAGAAATGCAGATCAAAACTACTCTGAGATTTCATCTCACTCCAGTTAGAACAATCACCATCAAAAATACAAATAATAAATACTGCGAAGAATGTTGGTGGAAAAAGAACACTCATACACTCTTGGCAGAACTGCAAATTAGTACAACCACTTTGGAAATCAGTATAAAGATTCCTCCACCGACTAAACATGGATTCACCATATGACCAAGCTATATCGTGCCTCAGTATTTATCCTAAATAATTAAAGTCAGCAATACATGCATCCTATGTTGCTAACAGTGCAATTCACAGTAGCCAAGTTAAGAAACCAGCTTATGTGTCCATCAAGAGATGAATGGATAAAGAAAATGTGGCATACACATGGAATGGAGTTTTATTCGATTGTAAAGAATGAAATTCTGTCATCTGCAGGAAAATGGATGGATGGAACGAACGTAAAAGCATTATGTTAAGCAAAATAAGCCAGATTCAGAAAGTCAAGGATTGTTATGCTTTCTCTTATACATGGAAGCTACAGAGAAAAAAGGGGGGAAAAAGGAGGGAGGAGGGCAAATCTCATGAAAACAGAAGGTAAAGTTGGAAAGGGGAGGTACCAGGGAATGAAACTGATTAAATTATATGCACGTACAAATATGTTGCAATGAATTAATTCAATATGTAAAATTATAATGCACCAATTAAAAGACTAATCAATTAAAAAATAAGTTTGTCAGAAAGAAACAAAAGTAAAAAATTCATCCATAATTTACACACTAGTTTATAGAATGGCAGTTACATTAATTTTAATTGCTTTTCAACTTTCTCTTACTTTTAAAAACATTAACAATTTAAGCCAAGTTAAAATGTTTAGAAAGAAAAGATGTTCCCCCTAAAATGTATTCTAGAATTCTTTGAGCATTATTTATTTAAATATATTTGACACTCACTGGAGATTTTCAACATCCTGGCAGATGACAGGAGGTAGATTTTCATCCTTCAGTGCCTTACTATCCCTAAGAAAAAAAGCCACAAATGTATTAATACCATTCAGATTTTAGAAAGTTGACATTAAATTTTACTATACTATATGTTAAGATTCAAGAAAATATTGCAAATGTTCTCTACTTAGAGCTTCCTTGGATGATTTCAAAATAAAAAAAAAAATTTCCTGACCTAGTTCCAGCAATTTATTTGAAATTGACATTTCTTAATTAAGAAGAGTGGCAGCTACTATAAATATACTTAAAAGCTTTTAACTAAATTCTAAGGAAAAAAGAAAATACTAATGACTGGATGAGATGCTGAACTAAATTCCCTCTGGCTAAAAGATTCTATGACTGACATTTTATTCAGTTTGAATAATTAAAGCATTAATAACACAAAGTCTATATAACTTCTCATGAGATGCTCTAAATACTTTATTATAACTTCAGTTTGTTCTTCAACATGCATTGAAATGGGAAAATAAAAGCAAGGGACAGTTTAAGGGAAATACAAATAATTAATGAAGGCAGAACAACTAAAATTTGGCATGCTATAATGAAATCATGAGTTAGATTTTATAACCTTAGACAGATCTCAGTCTGTTCCTTCATTTCAATTTTTTAAAGTTTCAGATTCTAGAGCATTTTGTATTTTGAGATTAGGGACACTCAATGTGTATATTCCATACAAATATCCCCACGTCTGAAAAAGTCCAAAATCTGAAACACTTCTTGTCCTAAACATTTTGTATAAGGGATACTCAATCTGTATTAGGCTAAAATATACACAAGAAGTTTGTAGAACAGCAAATTTGATCATTTATTTATAAGTAGCTTATTTAATACAAATTGTGTGAGAAAACATAATTTGCAATAAAAATAATGACCAAGTTCAAATATATATTTCAAATGTATGTATGTATGTGTGTGTGTGTGTGTATATATATATATATATATATATATATATATATATATATATATGATGTATATGAAAACTATTTTCTTTAATGAAGATACCAATAAATAAAAAATAGTCCTGGCATAATAATTTACATATGTAAGCAAGATGTTTTAAGGGCTGCACCATATAATCCATGGTTCAAGATGTTTTAAGGGCTGCAGATTACATACTATTAAGCTTGTGCTTAATTAGCATGCACCAAGGCCTTTGGTTCAAAACCCAGCACCAGAAACAAAAACAACAAAAACTGACAAACTTATATGCTTATTTACATTATCTGGGGAAAATGTCAATCACCTTTCTAAAAAGAAATGTTTTAAAGTTTTTTAATAACTAAAAATTGAAGATGTGATGTGACCTATCACAATCTTTCTAGAACATACATTTATTATCTTATTTTTGACGAATGCTTGTTAAAAGTGTCTCTTCCTTCTAAATGTGTACCTGGTTCTATGTATTTCCAACTATACCATCTGCCTACAAATTTAATAAATAAAACTCTTGATTAAAATATTTTAAATTATAAACTTACTCTGGTCTTGTTCCTGTTTTGTCACCTAGAAAATTCAAGAAGCTTCATGTAAAAATAGGTAATGTAACAACATATTCCAAACGTTTTAAATGAACACAAATTAAGGTATAAATATAAATGGAAACATTTCTTAGCTTGCCTCTTAAACATTGCTCAATGAAATGACTTGTTATGAACGCAGTGTTATCAAGGAGATGTGTACAAAGCCAACGTGTTCCACAGCTGATCTGCACCTGCTTCTTTCAAGGACATAGTTTTCTTTTCTCAACTAAAAATTTTCTCAATTGTTCCATAAAAAATATCCAGTATGAATAGTTTATATTCTCTACCAAGTTAACTCTGGGTAACTTTATCTGACACTTTTTAAGGCCCTATCAGGATTGAACACTAAGTCAGATTAGCATCCTGAATTTCTCCAATTCTTTAAAACAATCTGTCAATCCCTTAAAACAAGTACATTGAGAGCACTTTTTGGATCACACTCTCAAAAAACAATGAACATCAGTTTTTTAAATCTTTGCTAATCATGTAGCTAAATGGTGCCATTTATTTTTATCTTAGCTTGTATTTCTTAGACTAGTGAAACATAATATATTTTTCAAATCTTCATCTGACAGGTTTATTTTTTGTGAATTGCATACCTGTGTAATTTCTACATTCTTCATTTTTTTGCACATTTCTCTTATGATATTTCTCTTATTAATTTCTAAGAGCTATTTCAACACTTAGTATATTAATTATTTATCTCACAAATATTTATATCTGTTCCTAAAATTGAATCTATAAACAATCTGAATTTCAGATATTAAAATGTGAGAAAGTAAGCATCTAAAAATCAAGTATTTTATTTTTAATGTATTATTTGCCTTTCATCTTTATATGCAAGATTTCACTTTTTTCATCTTTCATCTGACTAGTTTATTTTTCCATAAATATTTGGAATATTTCATTAATTATAAAAATTTTTTCATTTTAACATTTCTGAAACTGGCACATTTCTTCTATAAATGCCTTAATAATGGTAATAAAAATAGGGCTTTAATTTTGTTTTGCCAAATAATTCATCAATTATTTTCTACTAATATGCTATTTCATTTTATTTATGTACATACAAAAAACTAGAACTTGGGCCTATTTCTAGACTGCCAAGGACACCTTACTGGTCTACCTTGCTTTGCCTCAGTAATATACCCAGACTACTATATAACTTCCCAACACTTCTCCATGCTGCTTCTCTCTCCTTCCTACAATTATTTTCTACTTGGCTGCCAGAATGCTCTTACTCTTAAAATACAAATCTCATCAATATCCTTTAGTAGAGTCTAGTGGTCATCAGTATAGTGACAAAATTCAATGTTGCACAGAAAGTTCTTCAAGACAGCTGGTATCTGACCTTTCTGCTCTCTGGCTATACTAGCCTTCAATTAGTTCTTCAAAAGAGAAGACTTTCTTGATTCTAGTCCACACCAGGCCTCCCCCTCTTTACCAATTACTGTTTCCTATCACTCTCCATCTGGTTAAATCCCACCAATAGTAGAGCTCCTAAGCTAACTGATATAGCTACTAGAAAAAGAAAAAATTCTGTAGATTAGCACAACAACAACAAAAAAATCCTTTGACCAATATAACAGATTAAAGGGAACTGAGATGTGGTACATGTGATCATATGCATTTATTTTTATGTATTCTCTTTGCTCAACTCAAGCTTAAGCACACTATGAGTACAGGATGGTGTGGATAGAGGTAGAAAGGGGAAATTAAGTCCTTATATTTCTCATACTCCTCTCTAAAGCACCTAGCTGAATTACACTGCCAAATGCTTTTGATATGAGTAACAACATATTACAAAATATATACTATGATGACGCCAATATAAAAAAAATTAACAAAAATATTAAGTTGGATAAATAAGAGATACACATATACATTTAAGTGATCTACAAAAATTAAACCTTAATCAATACACAAAATTTGCACAATGCTAATGCTAATGTAAAACAAACTTAAAAGTAAAAACTATACTACTGAATACATAAGTAGAGATTTTTCAGACATAGGAATTTTGAATAACGTGGAAGTTGCTTAACAGTAGTGTTAGAAGACAAAATTACAGTAACATTACTTACTCTTTTTATCTGATGAGCTACTAAAATCTACACCACCAAGGCCTTCATTGCCTGCAGCTGAAGTAGCTGCTGTAGTTCCCAAAGTCAGGCCTAAAGCATTTTGTCCAAGTCCTACAAATAAACCAAATATTACATACAATTTTACTGAAAGACTTTACCAGAATTTCCTCTTACTAACCAAAGTACTCAAATGCTTTTAAGATTTTTTTCATAATTGATTTAGGAGGGCTGGAGTGGTGGCTCAGTGGTAGAGTGCGCGCCTAGCATGCACGAGGAACTGGGTTCAAACCTCGGCACCACATAAAAACAAACTAATGTATCCACCTAAAAAAACTAAAGATACATAAATAAATAAGTATTTAAAAAAAAATAATTGATTTAGGAAAATATCAAGGAACAAGTCTGGAGCATGCTTTGGGCAAAGATGGTATATGTAGTTTGGATAATGTGATGTTTCATTATTAAAAAGATCAGAATATGTGTTAATTCAATATATGTGGGCATTCAATGTTTGTTACTTTTGAACCTTTTCTACAAAAACAGTTTAAGTTGTATTATTTTCAGAGAAGTCAGTCCTATCTTCCAAACATATTTTGGAACTACACACTTTAAAAATAATCCAGTGTTAATTTATAAACTTTGAGCATAATATATATTAAGTATAACTGCATACTTCCAAGTTCTTTTCAGAAAAGTTATTTTAAAAAGAAATGCTTTAATTTACCTATTTAAAAAGAAATGCTTTAATTTACCTGGCTATACTAGCCTTCAATTAGTTCTACAAAAGAGAAGACTTTCTTGATTCTAGTCCATTACAGGCTTCCCCCTCTTTTTTTACTGTTTCCTATCACTCTCCATCTGGTTAAATTCCACCAATAGTATAGCTCCTAAGCTAACTGATATAGCTACTAGAAAACCTGGCAAAAGGAATCAAAATGACGACAGTTAATTCTAAGTCATTAATTTATATTTGAGCCAAGTAGCAAAATTTCAAAGGTCCTATGTTGAGGGACTGGGATCGTGGCTCAGCGGTAGAGCGCTCGTCTAGCACATGCGAGGTCCTGGGTTCGATCCTCAGCACCACATAAAAAATAAATAAATAAATAATAAAGGCATTGTGTCCAGCTACTTCTAAAAAATAACTATTAAAAAAAGTCCTGTGTTGATAAACATATATTTCTAAAATCCATGCATTCCTAAGATAATACCATCTATTTTTTAAAAAGAGAAAATATTTAATAAATATAACTAAAATTTTGATTTAAATTCTGGCTATGTGTCAGAAAACAGCTAAACAAAGAATTACTCTATACCAGACAAGCATCCCTAATCCAAAAATTCAAAATCTGAAATGCTCTAAAAATCTAAAACTTTTTGAGCATTGTGTTGATGTTTGACTGGTGAAGTCTATGTAAATATTTTAAAATCCAAAAAATTCCAAAATCTGAAACACTTCTGGCCTAAACATTTCAAAAAATGGATACTTAACCTATGATAATTTTTAAAAAATTCAACAACACATTTAGATTAAGTATAAGCATTAAATATTAAGAGTTTGAGAAGAATCAAAGCACATCTAAAAACTGGGTAAGAAACATAAAACAACCCTCTCTCTCTCTTATTACTACTACTTCTGCTACTATTACTCATACTACTACTTGCGGTTATTGGGAGTCAAACCCCAGGTTTCACGCATGCTAGGAAGCACTCCGTCATGGAGTACTAACTCCCCACCCCTCTCTTATTACACAGATATTAAATAATTTCAACATAGTCATTGGCAAAATACTAAAATATCAATTCATGTGGCAGAAAATACTGAATTAGTATTTTATATATCAGGTTAATTTCTATTTTCTTGCTTATTATGAAATTTGCCTCATATTAAGGATTCTATAGTTTGTTTTTTTTTTTTTTAGTTGTAGTTGGACACAATATCTTTATTTATTTTTATGTGGTGCTGAGGATCAAACCCAGTGCCTCACACGTGCGAGGCGGGCGCTCTACCACTGAGCTACAGCCCCAGCCCCTCTATAGATCTTTTAAATATTGGTTATAGCTAATGACTGTATAAAGAAATGAATATTTTGAAAAGTCAATGAGGGCATTGTGGGAGTGAGAAAAGCTTTTCTATTATTTGAAGAAATTGTATAATTATTTCACATAGCAGTGTAACATCAGGAATTTCTATTTAGCTAGGCGTAGCAGAGCACTCCTGTAGTCCCAGCTATTTGGGAGGCAAAGGTAGGAAGATCACTTGAGTTTGTAAGTTCAAGACTTGGGCAACATAATGAGACCTCAACTACAAGAAAAATAAAATAAAATAAAAAGAATTTCTGTTTAAAAATGCACAAATTAGGAAATGCTAATCTATCAAACTCAGAATTTCCAGTTACACTTGATTTATAATGACTATTTTACTTTCAGAAGTTTTGCAGGGCCCCTAATATGTGCCTAATACTTCACTTGGTTGAACAGGAGAAAAGAAAGGAAAATGACTTGACTTTTTCTATTAAAGACACTATTTCTTTTTTGTCCTTTCTTCAGATAACAATTTGATAAAAAGGATTTTCAGGTCAGTGGAATGGGAGGGTAAGGATGGTCAAAATAATCTAAAGAAAATTATAGTGTTCTAGTTTGTATTGATATCTCAAATACTAATCTTTTTGTTATTGTCTAATTTTGTAGATATTCACAATATCTTGTAATATCCAAATCATGAGATGACTGTAACATACAATTTTTACAGGATAAATATTTAAACATCTCTCATAAAGACTGATATAAAAGTAAAATGAAAAAAAAAAATAACAGAAAGAAGAGGCACATGGTTTTCTAATACCCTTTCCTGAAATTCCATAATGGAAAGTCATTCCTAGAACTAAGACTTTACAAGTTGCCTTACAGTGAAGTAAGCTATAAATGACTCAAAACAAATTTTTTTTTCTAGCTTGGGAATCCACCCAAGCCTTTGTGCATGCTAGATAAGCAATTCTACCACTGAACTAGACCTCCAATTAACCCCAAACTACTTAAATGCCACTTATTTTAAGTTTTCTGACTCCTTTTTTGTGGAGGAAAGAAGGATGGGGATTGAACTCAGGGTTACTCGGTCACTGAGCCAAATCCCCAGCCTTCTTTTGTGTTGTATTTAGAGATAGGGTCTCCCTGAGTTGCTTAGCGCCCCTCTGTTGCTGAGGCTGGCTTTGAACTTGCGATCCTCCTATCTCAGCCTCCAAAACCACTGGGATTACAAGCATGTGCAAACGCACCTGGCTTTCTGACTCCTTAAATAGGCTTGCTTCTTTATCTAATTTGTCAATATTGAGAAAGAGAAAAATGTATCTCTAAATATGACTAAAAGGTCCAATTATGTACGAAAACCAATTTTACATTAAAGAAAAACATACAGATTAAAGAGGAAAAGCAAACTGGTTAAAAGGCAAAAATAAAGATTAAGTAATTTAAATACAAATACTTACTATTCTGTAGAGTAAATATCATCAATTACCTGATGCTGCTGTGTTTGTACTCTGGAAAAGTGAACCTCCCAAACCAGCTAAGGCTCCCCCTAAAGAAAGGCCTGTTGATGCAGCTGTAGTTGTGGCTGTTGTTCCTCCCAGATTATTTAGAGTAAATCCAGTGGATGCTAATGAAAAATGAGATACTAAGCCTTCAAATGGCAACATTACTTATGTACACCATAGAAAAATACAAGTAAAAAAATTTTAAGTTGATTTTCATGATAAAATTGGCTCTTTGCAAAATCTACTCGCTAAAGATAAAAATTATATACACTTTAGAAAAGAACAGTAGCTATAAAGCATAAACTGAGAGAAATAAGGGCTTCAGGTAATATTAGAACAGTACCAGGTAACTGATTCCATACAAGTGTTTCCAACCCAGGCTTCCAATTCCACTTTTACAATTAAACAAATTCTAAGCTAAGTAAGGTTTATATAACATTTTTATCCTTCCTTGTCATAAAATGGCTCCTTGAAAACAAAGCAGATATTAAAAGCTTTACATTTTACCTTTCTAATCCTGTCCTTTGCTCTACTCTGTAAATAAAGAAGACATTCCAAGACATTCCCTGTTGTAGTAATGGCCAACACTGACTTGTCTTTACAAACAAAAAAAAGGACTGGGATGTGGCTCAGTGATTAAGTGTCCCTGGGTTCAATCCCAGGTACCAAATAAATAAAGAAGGAAAAGTGGGTATCTATGTTCTCTACTCACCTGCTGGAGTTGATGTCAGAGCAGATGAAAGAGTGAGACCGCTTGCTGAGGTAGAAGTAATAGGAAGAGCAAATGGTGTGGCAGATGCTGCAGGTTTATTGAATCCTAAACTGAAGCCAGTTGTAGATGCAGATGTAGTGGCTGGTGTTCCTGTTTTAATAGATAAAATCCAATTTTACCTTAAGTGTATACATATCATATTGGTTTCAATCAGGATCCCTATAAGTTTGTGATCCTATTTTGTGTCAACAGAATAAGAATACATGTGTATGCATGAAAATTAAAACAGAGGTTAGAACCAAATCATGGTGAATTCAGAAAAGAAAAAGGTCCTTTAGATTAAGAAAGGTGAAAACACCCCAATCAATATAATATTGTAATCAATAAATTCAATACCTAGATTTATATAAAACAGTATTTATCCTTTTTCCCCTTTACTCTCAAAAGAAAAACAGTCCCTCTCCTCCAAGACTATGCAAACATTCTCTAATCCTTAAAATACTCTTCTTTCTGGGTCCTGTCAGCTCTCAGATATCTTACTACTAGTTTCTGTGCTATTCCTTTCCCATATTCTTTTGTAGATTTCCTTCGTCTGTTGATGTCTTGATATTCCCTAGGGTTCCCTTAATGTCACCCACTATGGGTACATGAGACTAAAATGTGCATCTACCTGAATGCCCGTTAGCTGGCTCTACCTTTCCAAAAAAACTCCAAATAAATCTAATTTTGCTAAAGCCCCAGGCCCACCAAGGTCAATTCAATTATTAAAGCCAAAAAAGCCACGATTTTTTTTCACAGTCCTTCCTTCCTCTGAATTCCACTGGCTATAAATCCTGCTAATTCTATTTCAGAAATATCCCTGGATTACAGGCATTCTCAAAAATCTTAAATTAAACCACCTCTCAAGAACTACAACAACAGACTTAATTTCTCTGCCAATCTCTTCTGAACTCTATTTTTGGCATTATCCCAGTTACCTTAAAAACAACATCCTGGTGACCCTACCAACTTATGGTTCCAATTAACTCTAGATTGTTCTACAATAGTCTAAAAATCAGGCACATAAGTGACCTTCTAATCTGGTTCCAACCTGCTCTCAAATCTCAATTCTTCCTACCATTTCCACTTTTGAATCCTAAGCCCCATGAACAAAATGTTTTTCTTATTCCAATGGAATAAGTTTTATGATTGAGCAAACACTGCATTCTACTTCTGTCTGGAATATTTTCTGTCCCAAAATAACCCTATTCTCTTCTTGCTTTTCCTTTCATTGTATCGTCCTATGTCTATGAGATATTTATCAAATTACACAAGACCATATTATATACCTGCTTACCCCTGTCATCTCATATTAGATCAATGTCTTGCATGTACACCCCAAATTTCCTGACTTCACCATCAATACCATTCTCACCAACACCATTGCAAATACAAGCTAATATTGACTTTCAAGGCATCATGCATACTCATAATCACACAGAAAACAGTAACTATTCAAACAAGAAATGCATAAATGACCCACATTTGGGCTTCTCCTGAAACCACTGAGAAAAAAGAAGTCAGAAACTATGCTTCTGGATTGCCCTGATTACAAGTTCCTGCGAGAGCACAGTACTCCAAAATTATGTATGGATGGGTTTTATAACCTCAGATAGTAAGAGGAATCAATTACTTGCCCTCAGCCAATCCTGTCCAAAGCTCTGGTGACAAACAGATGTGTTTTCCATTGATGACAAGCTAACAGCATTCAAGTGAATAGTCAATCCTTAACCAATTTAAGAGCTTTTCAACATCCTTTCATTTTTTTCCTTTCACTTTACTGTCACCCATTGTGAATAATGGTTAAGAGTCAAAGCAGGATGAAACCTAGTTATTTACATTCTCGTAAGCATACCACTACAGAAACTATTATGTTTCTGAGTGACAAGGGAATCAAAGAACTTTTTAGTCCAGTATCATTATTATTTTCTTTTTCAGTACTGGGGACCAAACCCAGGACTCCATACATGCTAGGGAAGCAATCTTCCACTATGCTACACCCCAGCCCTACAATATTTTATAGACAGCTAAGAGCTTTGTCACTACATACTTTATAAGACTGTCTAAGGCCTCCAGAGATTAAGACTTCTGGTGTGCAGCTTGGCTCTTTTCCTAATATTTAGTCAAAATGCTGAAAAAGTAATATAAAATAAACTCTGTGTTAAAAACCAATTCTGTATTTAAAATATTTACCTGAATTTTTTAAATCATGTATAAATCACTTTTTAAGTACTCAAATATTGAAAGGAGTACTTAGGATCTATACTCAAGGTTTTCTTTGCATACTTTCTTCTATATCCCAGTACTGTGAGATAAAAGAGTAGAAAGATCACTTAATTCATTTAAATTTTTAGGAAACCACAGATCTGAGATCTTTCCTCAAAAATTCTTACCCAGAGTTAGTCCTGTAGTTATAGTTGTTGCTATTCCTGAGAACAAAAAGAGAAATAAAATTTAAACAAGGAAGATGGCATTCATAAGGGAAAAAAACCCTCAGGTGTCGCCTCCATGGAGGCAAATAGATAATAGACTAATAAATACATTAGTCTATTAAGACTAATAGATCATGATATCTGCCACCATAACCACTAACACAAGAATTTTTCCTATGGCACTGGTTTTCATATTACAGGCTATATAATTTGATTAATAAGGAAATAAAGTTTATAAAATGCAAACTATTGCTTATAACAAAATAAAACAGAGGGGAAAAAAAAAAACTACTCCAGACAAAATGCAGGCACACAAAACTATCTTAGGAAACTCACTGGTTGGTACCCCAGTTGTCCTTTCATTTTCTGGGTATGGCTGTAAAATGTGCTGCACTCCAAGTCTGAAGGTCAACACAAAGGTGGCGAAAACCAAAAGGCTTTGAGGACAGAGAAAGTAAGTAAGGATGCAAAAACTTTTTAAATGGTCAGCTCCAGTAAAACATTCTTCAACGCTGGCAGTCCCATACATGCTAAGTTAATTAATGTTCCAAACTGGTAAACTTGGCTTAAACAATACTCTTTATTAAGGAAAAAAATGTATTATATAATCTAACATAAAATTTTAAATCACCTTAGTTCATTATATTTAAAGAAATCTTATATTTTTTGAGAAGGCCTTCCTTATAATCATAGCCAATAACTCAGCCTATCACCCTATTTCCAAATCCCTGTATTCCATATTCATCTTGGTATTTAGCCTTATTTTAAGTTCCACTACCAATAACAACCTCTAAACGGAGACAGAAGATGAAAATTGAAAAATAAATATCCCATTGGAAAAGGAATATCCCAAGCTTACTCCCTGAAAATATGAAAATCCTCCTTACCTGTGTTTGTTCCTCCTAGAGTGAACCCAGTGGCAGGCTTAGATCCAAAGAGTACAGTTCCAAAACCACCAGAAGAAGTAGACGTAGTTGCTGGAGTTGCAGTGCTTCCAAGAGTTCCAAAATTGAGCCCCACAGAAGGGTTGCTTGTTTATTAAAACATACACACAATTAAAAAAAAAAAAATCTGTTACAGTCAATGTTTACTTAAGAAAAATAAAAATTAATTCTTCTGGGTTATTTTCTTTTTTATTATACATCTAATATACACCTAATGTTCAAAAGAAAACTAATAAATTCAACTTTAACCAAGTTCAAATATCCTTCTGTTCTCCAAATGTAAAATTAGTCTTACAAAAATATAATACCAAGCTTTTAAGAAAAGCACAGTAGAGCAATCAGGATTTCAGACCTCAAGATAATCATAAGCAAGGAACACATTCTACTTAATAGTTTTTATTTGAAAATGGCCATAATAAATCTTATAAATGTGTATTATTTTCCTTTGGAACTACTCAAATAGAGTTCACATTTCCAAATTGAATCAAAAAAATTAGAAAGCACAAAGAAAAATACACAAGTTATTCTAAGGTACCTTAGCCATCTCTCTATTGCTATAGTACATATTCATGGGGGTGGGGGGAATGAATCTTGTCACCAAAACTGAGACACTAGGGGCTGGAGGCGTGCTGGAGTGAGCATGTCCTGCCAAAAATTAAATGCAAAGCTAAATTGACATTTATCAAGATTATGTGCTCAGCAGCAAAAGCTCTCTTTAGTGAGTTTCTTGAATGCTTAAAGAAAGGATAAAAACAAATGGTATAACAAAATTTACAACTTTTCAACTGCTATTATCAAGCCTCAGAGGTGCAAATTTGCTATCTATAGGTAGGAGAGCATATTATGAAAATAAGCAAGAAAGTTTCACAATTTGATACTTCAAGAATTATGTAGGAGGAGCAGGGGTGGTAAAGTATTTGCTTAACATGAAAAAGGCCCTGGTTTCAATCCCCAGAACCAAAAACAAAGTGGGAAAGTTAATAGATTATAACATGCATAGCATAATGGGAAATCCCACTTATCTTTATTACTACTTCCCTCTCTGCTCCTCCATAAAGACTAATCACCATGACAGAACCCATTATCTTTCTAAAAAATCTTAATATCCTTAGGATGTTTCAATGTAAGGAGAGGCAGTAGAGGTTGGGTTCCAATACCAGCTTCCCCATGTGCTGGTATTTGTGTGACAACACTTAACTTCATTGAACTTTTATTTCTTCTTCATCTGCAAAACAGGCATAATAGTAGCCACTAAGTACGTTTATTTATTCTGGTTAAGAAATTGTGCATGGCAAATTCACTTCAATAAATGTTGTTACTGTTATCATTAGGAATGCTTATAAATTGAACTAAACAACATTATGTGCAAGATAGTGTGCCTGAAATTGCAAAGGATACAAAGATAACTAAGATAATTCCTACTCAAAGAACATGTTGTTCCTCAGGGGGATAAAATAACACAAATAACTGTAATCCAAGTCAAAACAGTTCTCCAAGTTACTTAGGTGCAGGCATCACCAATTCCATAATTACCCAAAAATTAATTTGGTTTTCTGCACACATTAGGGGGCCTAGTGAAAGGGTAGTGTTATGATTCAAGCAGTAGAAATATATACCTTCAATAAAGCAGATTATAATCAAGTGCCAAATTATGGCAAAAAAAATTATTGCAGTAGTTTGAGATAAAAGACTTATCAGTATATAGGGCATGGAGACAGAGGAACCTGTTAAAGAGCTAGGCCTTGAGATAGGACATCAATGCTCAGTAGAAAAAAGGAGGAGTGGGGGCTGGGGTTGTGGCTCAGTGGTAGAATGCTTGCCTAGCATGTGTGAGGCACTGGGTTCCATCCACAGCACCACATTAAAAATAAATAAATAAATAAAGGTATTGTGTCCATCTACAATTAAAAAGAAAAAAGAAAGAGTACCCTGTTATGTATTAGTTTACCATACATACATGCACCCCTGGATGTCTGAAGAGCAGGAAGGAGGCCAAATTAGGCTGCAATGATTCAGTGACAATTGTAAAGATCTCTGAACGCTTATTGAATGAATTTTAAAAGTATTTTAAGAGGGCTGGGGTTGTGGTTCAGTGGTAGAGCACTTGCCTAGCATGTGTGAGGCACTGGGTTCGATTCTCAGCACCACATATAAATAAATAAAGCCTTTGGTAACTAAAAAAAAAATTAAAAAAGAAAAGTATTTTAAGAAATAGTATTGACTACAATAAAAACTAAAAAATGCAAACAAAAAAGCTAGGTGTAAGTTAAAAAGAAGATATTACAGTATTCAATGACTATACATTCAGAGAGCATAGGAAGTACAACTAAAAAGAATGCATGAACACATGGTTTCACTGATGGTAGTCTAATGATATTGTTATTTTGGATCTACTATGTGTATATAACATGGGCTAGAAAATTCACAGAACTTTTTTAAAAAAGAAGCAGGAGGATCTTAAGTCAAAAACAGTCTGGGCAACTTTGTGAGACTCTTGTTTTAAATAAAAAATAAAAAGGAGTTGGGCATTGCGGAAAACTCCTGTAATCCCAATAACTCAAGAAGCTAAGGCAGGAGGATCACATGTTCAAGACTAGCCTCAGCAACTTAGACACTCACCACCTTAGACCTGCCTGAAAAATAAATAAATAAATAGATAGAATTTTAAAGAAGGTGGATTGGGGATGTAGTAGTAAAGTGCCCTTGGGTTCAATCCCTAATTACCACAGAGGGTGGGGTGGTGGTGGTAATAGATGCATGGTGAAAATGTTTTCAAAAAATTAATCAAAATATGTAAAATTTCTTGATAACTGAAGGTACTACCAAGTGTTACATAACTAAAATTAAAAATATTGCCATAGAAACATATCAAAGTAAAATCTTAAAAGAAAAGAAGTAAAAGAAAAATTTCTTAAAAGAAAAAATTCCATGTGGCAGAAAAATTTTCTTTAAAAAAAAAAACCAAAATCTACCCTAGATCCAACAAATTATTGACTCAATCCAGGGCTATCTGCCAAGGACTTGATAGAATGTGCTGTGATAAAATAAAACTCCATTGGGCTGGGGATGTGGCTCAAGCGGTAGCGCGCTTGCTTGGCATATGTGGGCGGGGCACTGGGTTCGATCCTCAGCACCACATAAAAGTAAAATAAAGATATTGTGTCCACCGGAAAAAAAAACTATAAAATAAATATTAAAAAGTTCTCTCTTTAAAAAAAAAAACCTCCATCAAGTCAGGCATGTGATTTTACCTTCTTAGTCTGCCTCTAGTAGATTTGGGAGCTAACATAATAGTTAATTTACTAAGCATTTAGCAAGTGCCAGATATGATGCTAAACTGACATGCTTCAACTAACATCTCCAAGATAAATATACTATCATATCCCTTTTCCTTATGTAGGAACTCTCTAAAAATGACTTACTTCAAATCACCAGGTGATACTAAAAAAGTCAGGCCTCCCGAACAACATCTTGGCTGACACGCTGACTGTCTTTCATTACTTTATCCTAATCTTTCTAAAATCTGAGTAAATTTTTCTAATTTATTACTAATAATTCATTTACCAATTCAATAAGGATTTATTTTTTTAAGAGAGAGTGAGAGAGGGAGAGAGAGAGAGAGAGAGAGAGAGAATTTTTAATATTTTATTTTTTTTAGTTATCGGCGGACACAACATCTTTGTTTGTATGTGGTGCTGAGGATCGAACCCGGCCGCAAGCATGCCAGGCGAGCGCGCTACCGCTTGAGCCACATCCCCAGCCCAATAAGGATTTATTAAAGACCTTTTTCTATGCCAGGTATGTTCTAGGAACTGAGGATAGAGTGGCATACACTCTGACTCTGACCTCAGAAATTTCGCGACAGTGGGCTAGGGTTGTGGCTCAGTGGTAGAGCATTTGCCTAACACTGGTAAGTCACTGAGTTCGATCCTCAGCACCACATTAAAAATAAACAAATAAAATAAACATATTTTTTCCATCTACAACAAAAAAATAAATAAAAAAAGAAAGAAATTTCCCGACAGTGGGAGACATAGATACTAACTGTTCATTCATTTACTAAATATGGGTTGAGGTCCAAGTACAGTATCTGCTGAGAAAACAGAATGAAAAGGTCTCTAGCATCATAGAGCTTACAATCTACTGTGGGGGTCATACTACAAGCAAAATAATAAATATTAACAATTACGATTTATATACACACTTAATATATTAAGATAGTATGATAATGGATATCTCATACAAAATACTATGAAAATGGATATCTCCCTTAGACTGACATGTCAGAAAAGGCCTCTTAGGAAAAGATCATTTCAGTACCAAAAGATAAACAGGGATTGGTTTGGTAGAGAGGAAGTTGTGGCACTCTAAATAGAGGGAACTACTTGGAAGTAGGAATGTTTAGCTTCATCCCTCTGAGGAACTGAGAAAAGCCTGTATTGCTAGGACAGAATTCTTCAAACTAAGATCAGGACCACTAGAAAAGATTAATTAAAAAATTAATTTTGCAGGTCACAACATTCTAAAAAATGAAATGGACTAGCATAGAAAACAGCAAAATGCATCCCATGAAATATAAGTAAATATGAACAGTTCCAATGAAATGTTCAATTTCTTATTTGTGCAAATATACTGGGTGATAACTTAAATGTTATTTTTCTACAGTGGGTCTGGATCACTGAAATGATAAAATGGGCCCAAGATGAAATCTGGAGAGATTGCAGATTATTTGGGGCCTTGAAACCCAAAGGAATATCTTTTCTTTCCTCTTTTTTTTTTTTTTTTTTTGTTTACTTCCTTCTAGGGATAGTGGGAAGTAACTAAAGGAGGAGCCAATCACTGATGTAAAAGGAGATTTGGGGACAGCAATTGGGATTCCATTGAACTAATCCATGCAGGAGCTGATAGCAGTTCTCAATCAACACAAGTAAGAGGGCTGGCTGAAAACCTGACAGGAACCAGGAATTTTTATTTAGAATTTGAGCGCCAAAGACAACTCTTATTTGTCTTACCATCCAAAATAGATCGTAACACAAAAATTTGTTTAACAAGTATCTGTGCCATGAAGGATAATAGCTTGTGCACTGGAATGCAAACAAATGAAACCTGCAGAAGCAAAGTTATCAGGACTTACATTAAAAGCATAGAGTAGCAGAGGTATGGAGAAAAGCTCCCAGATTTTTTCTGGCTTGCGTGTATAGTATGTGGTTCCTCTCCCCTTCCTTTTTTTTTTTTTTTTTTTTTAGGGCTGGGGTTGTGGCTCAGTGGTTAGGCGCCTGCCTCACATGCCTGAGGCACTGGGTTCAATCCTCAGCACCACATAAAAATAAATGAACATACTGTATCCATCTACAGCTTAGAAAATATATTTTTTAAAAAAATTTTAGTTGCAGATGGACCTTTATTTATTTATATGCACTGCTGATAATCTATCCCAGTGCCTGACACATACTAGGGAAGCACTTTACCACTAAGCTACAACCCCAGCCCTCTCCTTCCTTTTTTAAAATACAGGTAATGCTGAAGGTGTTTTTGCCTTTTCAATCTACCACCATGTCCTTTAAGCCATTCACATCCACAGCTTGTCAAGTCAACAGAGTACACATTTCTTAATACTGAGTTCTAAAGATTAAAGTTTTCTATATTCTCTTCCCATTCTTTCTGAACTTCCTTTTTTTATGTTTCCACCTGAACTAGTAAGTTGTTTTGTAAATTAGTAAACGACAAAATGAACAATTACATTATTATCAGAGAGATACTAATATGCACATGCTACAGAAAATTATTACCAATAAACTGGGTCCCATGAGACACAAAGGTCTGCAAGGCTCGAGAAAAAAAGAATCACGAAATCATAAAAACACAGCTAGTATGTAAAGCTGCGAAGGAATCTTAATTAACAAGGAGAAACCATGATTGTCCTCCTCAACATCTTCTATTATTCGTCCCTTTCTAAAGCCCTAAAGAAGCTGTAATTTCATTCATTCGCTCAATTTTCACCTATGCCTAAGATTAACACAAGATTAAACTTTAGGAGTGAAACCCCAAGCCCCTTCACCTAGTCAGACCCCGCTGGGCAGTAACAATACCTGAACCATCTGTGAAATCCGAGACCTCACAGCAAAGGGATATTCCGCCCCCGTTTTCCCTACCAGGACGCCGGTAGGGCCCCGGCACCGAAGCGAGCGGGAGGTCCATGTCGCTGGTGTCTGGTCAGGTGCTTTCCCCCAAGCCCAGCGGAAAGAAATCAGCGGGAGATAAGATGGGGCACCAAGAGCGTCGCGAGGAAAGATAGGACCACGAAAGCGAAGAAGTGTGATTACCTAGATGCTCCAGTCCCGAAAGAAAAACCGCCGCCAGTGCTGGTCCCACCGGCCGCCACGGTGGTGGAACCCAGCGTCCCGGACCCGAAGGAGAAGCCCGTGGCCATGGCTGCCTCGGGCTGGACGCTGTCAGCAACCAGAAAAAGGTCGGAGACCCTCCTCTAGCCTTAAAGTCGAAGTGGACCGGGCAGCATTGTTCTTGGCCAATTCCGACTTGGCGGGCACTTCAAGCCCTAGAGGCGACCGCGAACCACGGCCAAAATGGATGGAGCCACTAAACCAAAGCACGCCCAACGGCCGCCGCGAGCTCCTAGCACGCCGGAAGCGAACCGGTAGCGCAGGGAACTCTGGGACCGGAGTGGGATCGACGTGCCGCGCAAGGCACCCTGGAACGCGGTGGAGTTGGCTCCCCGCCTACTCTCTTAAAAGGGTAGGGGCCCCGAGTTTTTAAACAACCATTTCTTCCTTTTGTAGTTCTCCTCCTTCTGTACTTTGTGACTGATGAATTTCTATCCTACCTCCCACTAAAAAGCATGCCAAGAACCCCAGAGGTGGGGAGGGCTCTAGTGAACATCCCTAAACCTCCCGTACAGAAACAGGAGGAGTCCGGCTTTGGTAGGCAGCCGACCCAATCCCAGGAAGGGAAGGCAGCGCAGCAGCTCCTCGAGGATTCAGAAATCAGACGATAATAATTTACTGGTCCCCCGACGAGAGCTCCACCTGGGAGCTCCAGGCCATGCAGAGTTCGTTTGGCCAAGTCGGTGGGACGAGGGGCCTTCGGTGGTTGAACGGCCCAGTGGAGCCCCCAGGCTGACTTGGCCAAGCTCCCAGGTCTCCTGTGTGGTGTGCGCAAGTGGAAGAATAATGTCTGCGGCCTGGCTCGGTGAAGCATGCCTGGGATCCCAGCGGCTTCGGAGGCTGAGGCAGGAGGTTCCCAAGTTAAAAGCCAGCCTCAGCAACTTAGCAAATCCTTGTCTCAAAATAACAAAGGGCTGGGGATGGGGCTGGCTGCGGTAGTAGCTCAGTGTAGAGCGCTTGCCTAGCATATGTGAGGCATTGGGTTGGATTCTCAGCACCACACAAAAATAAAAAAATAAAATAAAGGTCTTGTGGGTAATGTCCTTGCCTAGCATAAGGACGGCCATCTTAAGTGACAGCCACCATTTTAAGAAAAATGTCGCTTTCCCGTCCAAGGGCATTAAATGAGAAAGGTTCATCACTCCCTCATACCTACTCCACCCTTAACCGCCTGCATTAGACTCCCTCCCCCCCAATCCCTGAGCCTGACCCATAAAAGTCCCTAATTCCAAGCTTACTTTGTCTCTCTCCGTCTATAGAGAGATGTGCCTTAATTTGTAAACTGACTTACTCTCATGTGTAGCTCTACCTGGTCTCTGTCTCTGTCGCCTGTCTCCCCGTTCCTGCTTTCCTTTCATTGTGTTCATCTACAATTAAAAAAAAAAAAATTTAAAGAGTGACGGGGCTAGGGTTGTGACCTCAGTGGTTAAGTGCTCCTGGGTTCAATCCTGGTACCCAAGTAATAACAACAACAATAACAATAATCATGTCAGCGTTCTAGTGGGTAGGAATGCGTGTGGGTCCTTCCCAGACAGCTGCTTCGTGGCTGTATGGTGCAATATACTAGAGGAACTGCCGAATGGGAGCTATGAGAAAAGTACAGAAACAAATACCATATAAGGCAAAATCTTCCTTGAGCAGCATACAAAATATGTGGGATTAGAGATGAAATCCTCCTTCAGCGGGAGCATCAGGAAAATTTCCTGGCAGTTGTGCGTGTGTAGGCAGCCATCAGAATATTGGTCTTTATTTTTCCACCAGGTATTGTTACTCCTCCAAATGGTTTGCCTACTGCAGTCTCTTCCGAAAAAAAAAATCAATCCCAAAAGCACCCCTTGGATTTGTTCTCCTAAAGCATAATTCTCACCATGACAGTACCTTGGTCAAAAGCCCAGTGTCTTCTAAGTCTGGCACTCAAAGTCCTCCAAAGGACCAGTCTTTCCAACCTCTTCTCTCACAGCCACCCTTAATTCAACACTTTCTGCAGCATTGAGTTTGATATTTACCATCTGTTAAAAACTGAATTATGCCACACACACCCCAAAGATTCATATGTTGAAACCTTATGCTCCCCTCCGAATTCATATGTTGAAACGCTACCCTCCTCCAAATCCATATGTTAAAGCCCTATCCCCTTCAAATTCAAATGTTGAAGTCCTGCCTCCTATGGGTCCTTTGGAGGTTACTAAATTTAAATTAAATCACCAAATCGGGTCCCATGATGGGATTAGTACCCTTATAAAAGACAAAACAGAGCTTGCTCTCCTTTCTTCACCACATAAGTACACAGCAAATGGGAGCCTTCTGAAAGCCAAGAAGGTCCCTAGCAGGAACCCAATCTCCAAGCACTTTAGCCTTGATCTTCCCAGCCTCCAGAACTGAGAAATAAATGTCTGTTTTCAACCACCCTAGCAAAACCAAGGTACTGGAATTTGACTTGACCTTCCTTATCTTGAGTAGCAAAAGTAGAAAACAGACTTTATATTTTTATGTGCTACAGAAACACGACTCCAAGTAAGCAGTTTTAATAAGCTCAATTGTTTGGTCAGTCAACTGAAAACTTGACAGTAGAATGGCATACGAACACGCCAACATGTGTTTGTATAATTAAAAATAAAACTGAACATTATTGAAGTCACAGTGGGAATGATAAAAAAGGAAAGAGGCACAGTTGAACTTCAGTTATAAAGAAAAAATTCATAGTTACTGAACAGGAGAAAATAAAAGATTATTGTGTGCTTAAAACTGACAATTTAAAGAATGCTGTTTTCAGTGAGGGCTGTAGAATGATACAGAAGAGAACGGTTGTAAAATCTAACATATTTCCTTTTGACTGAAGATTTTTAAAAAGATAAATCCAGGTTATTTTTGTGGGAAGACAGAAAACATCTCTGTAGGTCTTTTAATTCTCTAATGTATCCTTTCCAAAACTTTTGAAGAATACCTACATAAAATTAGCAAGAGAAAAATGCTTCTCATTTAAGAAATATGTTAATTAACAAGACATAACAGCTAGAAGGAAAGAGCATGTAAAAATATTGTAGGGACTAACATAAAATATTCATAATAGGAAAAACTGGCTGTGGGTGTATGGGAACTCTATAATAATGATGCAAATCTGTAACTTTTAAAATAAATTTATAGAACTAAAGCAAGAAAATACGACTCAAAAGATAATAGTTTGGGCTTTGGGGGAAGATATTTAAATTGAAAAACCATTCTTTCAGCTTTATTTTAGTAAAATTTTAGCATGGTATTTCTGTCTTGTATTTGGCAGAGTGAAGTTATGCTAAAGTAGCAATTGACCCCTAAATCCCACAGGGAGGAGCACTGCAGAGACAGAAACTGGAATATATTATAAGCAATATTACAGTCTACCACATGCCTCTAGCTGCACCAAAGGTGAGACTGGACCTCAAAGACACTTTCTTATTTCATATACATTTCCCTGTTTGACTTGTTAGCAAGGACAAGACTTTACATTCTTATGTGCTACAGAAACACAACTCCAAGAAAGCAGTTTCAATAAGCTCAATTGTTTGGTTAGTCAACTGAAAACTTGACAGTAGTATAACAATCACCTGAGTATCATGCCTGCTTAAAATTAGCCTAAAACCAATTGCCCAGCCATGCAAAACCAAAGCACTGGAATTTGACTTCACCTTCCTTATCTAGTGTAGCACAAATAGAAAATTCTGTTTACAAAAGATCTTCCAGTTATTACTCAGATATAGGACTTGAACTCTATGTGAATTGCTATTTTCCAAGGATAAAGCAAATTATTCAGATTCTAAATTCTCTGGTAAGCCATTTGTTTCCACTTGTTTCTCATAGTGTGAGATTTCTGTTAAGAAACTACATCTTTTGTTGATTTGTTGGTGGATGATATTGTTTATGTTATAAGTGGAATTATTCAGAAGTCAATATAAACAGAATCATGCTGTATGTACTGTTTTGTGTCTTTTAAAAAAATATTTTTTTAGTCAGAGATAGACCCAATACCTTTATTTTTTATGTGGTGCTGAGGATCCAACCCAGTGCTTTCCACTTCTGAGATGAGCACTCTACTCCTGAGCTACAACTTCAGCCCTGTTTTGTGTCTTTTGCTTAGCATTATGTTTATAAGGTTTATCTGTTGTCACATGTAATTGAAGATTTTTATTTTCATTGCTGCATAATATTCCACTTTATCAATATCACGGTCTATCCATTCTATAGCTGGTATTTAATATTTTGTTTTGGACAATTCCAAGCAAGGCTGCTATGTACATTTTTTTACACGTATTCTGTTGCATATATGGGTAAAATTCTCTAGTATACACATTTATGAATGGGTTGCTAGCTCTTAGGCTGTGTGCATGTTCAACTTTATTATATGATGATAAATTTTCTAAAGGCATTGTAACAGTATATACTCCCAATGGCAATGTCTGGTAGTCCATATTGTTACTTACCCTTGCCAATACCCTTACAGTCAAACTTTTTTTTTTAATTTCCTGATTCATAATAAAGTTAAATACTTTTAGATTACATATATTGGAGTTTTGGATATCTTTTTTTGTGAAGCCCCTGTTTGGGTGTTTTACCTATTTTTCTGTTGAGTCTTTGTCTTTTTCTAATTGATTGGTAGATAGGAATTTATATATTCTGAAATGGATAGTTTATATATTATTTATGCTAAAAATGTTTTACCTTATAACTGCTTTACTGTTATATTCTTTTTTTTTTGAGGGACAGAAACTTATGACCTAAAATTCAATTTACTATCTCTAATTTTTATGCCCTGTTTTAAATATTCTTCTCTAGAATAGTGACAAGTATATTCTCACATATCTGCCAAAATTTTTATTGTGCTACTTTTCATATTTGGGTCTTTTCTCAAATAGAAATGCATAGTTGGGGGTAAAGATCATATTTAATTTTTTTCCACACATAGATTACAAATTGTCTCAGCACCATTTATTGAAAATAGTATCCCCATCTCATTGATCCAAAATATGATATTTCTTATATATCAACCCATTCCTGGAAGCCTATTTGCCTATCCTTGTAACATACTACCTAAATTATATTTATAATGAATCTTGATATTGCTTTCAACAAAACTTGCCTTCTTTTCTTCCTCAACTATATGTTAGAATTATAATCAATAGAATTAGCTTATCAGACAAATATAACACACATGTAACTGCTAACTTCCCTCACTATAGTATACACATTTGTTGG